TCCACATTCAAGCAAAAGTTGGCTATTATGTGCACTTTCTCAGCTATTCCAAAGAAGCTGTTTTAAAAATGTTAACAAGTTCATTATTATTTTGAGGCTAATCTGTGCATAGTTCTTAGTGATTGGCCTCAGCCTTCCATTACTTGATAGTCTTCAGATGCATAAGATTGCAAACGCTTGTCATTTCCAATGGCCTGTAATGATGATAGTTGGGTATTATGGCAGTTGTAGTTTAGTTTATTTGGACTCTACAGAATGAGGAAATTCAGTTTAACTATTCTTAAGTTTCCTCTTAATTGAACAAAATTATAGCCAAATAATGGGGGCAAGAGGTTGGTTACATAGTAGTTTTGAAGCATATTGATAATCAGGTTCTGATATTGATTGAAGAGTCTGTGTTGGGGGTGAGGCTTGTGTGGGTGGGTGTGCAGATAAGAGAGGCAGTTGGTCTAGTGCAGGGGTCCCCAAACTTAGCAACTTTGCGGACTTCAACTCCTAGAATTCTCCAGTCAGTATGCTGGCCAAGTTTGGAGACCTCTGGTCTAGTGGTTAAGGCACCAGACTAAAAACTAGATTTTGAGTTCTAGTCCCGGCATGAAAGGCAGCTGGGTGACCTTGAGTCAGACATTCTCTCTCAGCCCAACCCACCTCACAGGGTTGTTGTTGTGGGAAAAAAGGCAAGGAGTTTTATGTATGCTTGCGATTTATAAAGTAAAACAGGTGGAATTTAAAAATCTAATAATAAAATATGTACATTACTTACCACACATGCATTAAAGGCAAACATAAGATCCGATTCCCTAATTTTTAGATCTGTGCTGTGATCTTGGCTCACTAGAAAAAGCAGCAACACATCATGCCTTTATTAATACAGATGCATCGAGGGTTTGCATCGAAATTAGAGAAGCTTTCACCTATACCTTGTATGTACATTGTTTTCTGGATGAATAAGGATCCCTTGTTATCAGGGTCTAGGCTTATGTGGAAACCATCTGTTTCATAATTGCAGACTTCACTATGAATGTGCAAGTAATTGTAGCAAGTGATGAGTTTTCAATGCATTAATGCAGGGGTGCCCCTGGGGGTGCGAGACGATATTCCAGGGGGTGCAAGAAAAGTCCAGGTAAATAATAGGATATTGGCTATATGTTGGCATTTTTATTTATTATGCAATGGATTAACTTTGTTTTCATTTTAGAGTTAAGTATCGTTATTTAGTGGCGGTCACATACATAGCTGAAAAGATTCAATCCTACCATATATTTAACGTGTTCAGTAGTTCCTAAAGTCTAAATTTCAGGGGGTGCAAGGTTCGAGTGAAATTTCTTTAGGGGTACGGGGCGAAAAAAAGGTTGGGAACCACTAATGGGAACCCGCATTAATGGGATGGAAGATTCTATTCTTTTCTTAGCTGGTGAAACCTCTCTCTATAATATTACCTGTCACTTTTGATAAGTATGGTGTAGGATTCAAGTAATTTTAAATTAATGACTATGACACAGAAAAAGACCATGATTCTATTAACTAGTATATAGGGTGTTAAATATTGGATTTTAAGTTTTACTTGAAATATTAAAAGCAGTGTGACCCTAGAACCAGTTGTCTACAGACCTGGTTGTCTTTGTATATGTAGTCAAGTTGAGTTGAGGCTGAGAACAATTTGTCAAGGATGTTTTACTGCAGGGTGACTATGATGATCACTTTAAACAATATTAGCTTTAGTTTGTTGCACATTGTGCTATTCTACCTAGAGGAATACGCTAAAATTATTTTGGGGGGTTTGATAACTTGGGGTGAAGAATAGTTTCATATTGGGCATTTCTACTGACCTGCTTTAGGAAATATTGTTCTCTTCTTTCAATAGTAGGTAGCTGAGATTGGATGATTTTGAAAAAGGTAATGCAGCCTTAAGCGTAAGATGGGAGACCTCTAGGAAATGCCAGTACTTTTGGTTGAATGGTAAACTACTTTCCCACTTGCAGGTGGCACTGAATAACAACAACCAAAACTACAGCAACAAGAAACAGTCTCCACAAGGACACATCTATATGGTTAATAGAAGTTTCCCTGCCCTTTTCAAGTCGGAATTAATGGCTTAACCATTTTTTTTTGATAGCGTATATTTTGCTTAAGACATTAAAAAAAAAACCCACCCTTTTATAAAGTTCATAGTTAATCTGGCCTCTTAAAAAGAAATATAAAAATATTTTGCCAATAAAGGAAATACAGAAAACCTGAGAGCATAGTTGCTGAAATTCTTTCCCAAACTGTTTGTTTACCAACCATCTTACCATAGAGTAACTTTAGTCCAGAGGGCAGGAGTAACAGCAGAGAAACCCCTCTTCCTGGACCCCGCCAGCTGGAATAATTAGACTGACGGGATCGACAGCATGCGTCTTCTGCCACCACAAATGGCATGGCCAACCCCAGTGGGTGAGAGGGTCCCTCAAGTAACCTAGATCCATGCCATGAAGGGCTTTAAAGGTGATCACCAACACCTTGAATTGAACCCAGAAGCAGACTGATAACCAATGCAGCTCATGGATCAGTGGTGTTACAGGGGCCATCCTTGGGCCCTCCCAAAATACCCACGCTGTCACACTCTGCACCAGCTGTAACTTCCAAATGCTCTTCAAGGATAGCCCCATGTAGAGCGCATTATGGTAGTCCAGCCATGAGATGACTAGGGACTGAACGACTAAGCGCAGGAAATCCTGGTGCATCCAGGAAAGGCGGCAACTGGTTGTGCAAAGGCTCTCTTAGCCACAACAGCCACCTGTTCCTTGAACAGGAGTTTCCAATCCAGGAGAACCCCCAAGTTATACACTGTGTCTTTCTGTGGCAGTGCCACCCCATCCAGAGTTAAATATGACAAAGTCCCTGGAGCCATTTGGTCCTACCAGGGTTCAGTTAAAACCTGTTGTCCACTAGAACCTCCAGGCACCGCGAAAGGGGGGCTATAGCATCACTTGGGTCCACCAGGAGTGGAAATATAGAGTTGGGTGTCATAATCAAGAAAATCATTAGACTTGGAGTGGGTGGGAAATCATTTTTCTCCTCACTGAATAATGCTTCATTCCACAATGAGTAGGAACAGAAACAAGATTCTTGTTATTCAGGAATCTCAAGAGTTTAAGGCTAGAATGTGAACTAGAGAGAACAATGCTATTGTTTTCATTTACAGTTGTTTATTTCTGGAATGACATTATTATGGAGAGAGTAAAAACGAAGCACATAAGCAAGCATTCTCATGGTATAAATAAAGTGGAGATAATTTACCAAACGATGAGAAAAATTAATAAAGAAAACAATGCATATAGTATACTCATCATGAAATGTTGATCTGTTCTGTCATCTTAACTTTGCACTTATGATCAAAAACATTGTCCTACAATAAACATTATCTCACTTTTTCAAGCAAAACAAAACGCCCATGCTTACATATACTGAAATAAAATTGAATATATTCATTTTATGCAACATCACGTCTAAGTGAAAAATATATAAATGGCAACTGCGAGAGAGATGTCTAAATTAGTCACCCAAGAGATTTTAGCCACACTTGGAATGATATTCCTTATTTTATATCTATATTATATATAGAGAGATATAGATAGATAGATATTGATATTGATATATTGATATAGTAATTCCAATAGTAATGTTTAATTGTGTATTGACTTCAGTACACACTGAATTGTGTACTTCAGTATAGAAATGATTTATAGGTAATCCTCAACTTACTACAATTTGTTTAGTAACCGTTCAAAGTTACAATGGAACTGAAAAAAATGTCTTATGATCATTTGTCACACTTAGGACCATTGCAACATTCTCATGGTTATGTGATCAAAATTCAGATGCTTGGCAACTGACTGATACTTATGACAGTTGTAGTGTACCGAGGTCAGTTCTTGTGACCTCCTGACAAGCAAAGTCAATAAGAAAGCCAGATCCACTTAACTAACTTATCAGTTGGAGTGATTTGATTAACAACGATGGCAAGAAAGGATGTAAAGTGCGGCAAAATTCACTTAGCAATTGTCTTGCTGAGAAAGAAAAAAAATTAAGTTCAATTGTGGTGAAGGTCGAGGATTACCTTTATGCTATTAAATTAGTTCTTCAATGATGAGCAGGCCAGTAGCCTAGTTAAAATTCGAAAGGCAAAAAGTAGAAGGTGAATTCCAATGTGGCCTGCTTTTTCTCCTAAACACTTCCACCCACATCAGAGGAGTTTTGGGGGATGCCGTGGAAACAACACATGAGGAGAAGTCCATTCTGCCAGCTCTGTTCCAAGAGCATGAGGACGCATTTGGACTCCACTTAATCGTATCACAATCATGTAAGATTGCTGATTAGTTGAGTAGCAAGTTTCATAGTCCTTTCTGTTGAACCCCCTGAAGAAGCTAAGTAAGAACTATAGAATCCATGAGCGTTTGGTATATTATCCCCATATGGGGTAAACAGGGGTGGGATTCTACTGGTTCTGCTCGGCTCTGTAGAACCGGTAGCGCTGAAGAGCAGCAGACATAGAACTGGTTCTATGTCTATGCTGTTTTGGCCCACCCGCCTGTCCGGGCTCTTACCTGACCTTTATTTCCAGCTTTTTCAACCTCAGCTGCCGTGTGAGGCAGAGCTGCGGTTGAAAAAGCAGGAAAAAAGTGCTTTTTCAAATGCTGCTTCCCTGCACGCAGCACTGCTCAGCTGTCCAGGCAGCAAGCTGACAAAGATTTACACGCGTGCGCAGCGTGCAGGGAAGCACATTGTAAATCACCGAACTGGTAGTTAACCCTGTCAGATCCCACCCCTGGGGATAAAGAAATAGTGTCTTGTAAACTGTTACATGAATAGAAAAGTAGATGGTGAAGATTGGTCTATGATTTGAATGCTTGTCATAGAATTTCACAGGGCATTATTGTGTCACACTAATTTCCATGCATGTAAACTGACTGTAGACTGGTTAACATGGTTAAAGAAATTTATATTTCTTCTCTTTTTAGTTTGCTGTTTTGTGGTTCACAAGAGGTGCCATGAATTTGTTACTTTTTCTTGTCCTGGAGCTGACAAGGGACCTGACACTGATGTAAGTACATTGGATTTTTGTTATTTCATTCATTTTGCTGCATTAATTGTTTTGAAAAGTCCTTGGAACATTAGAATATCTTAATTTGTTCTTTTCTACATTGTGCCTTATAGATATGTTTTCTTTGGCACTGGATAACTCTGCAAATTAGGGACATCTATGGGCAGGTAATGATAGGAACAAACAGACAAACAAAAATAAGGATATAGAATGTGGAAAAGAGGATGCACAAAGGTTCTTCCTGGGATTTTCCTTGAAAGAGCTAACAGATGTAGATCTCATCAGCAATAGCATGCTTTCTTTTAATAACAACTTCTCTTTTTATTTAATTACCTGTAGCAACTCTATCATGTATTTATGGTTCTGGAATGCCTGATATAGTGTATGGAGGCAATTTTGTCAAGTATAGGGAGTAAGTTACTCTATGACAGGGGTGTCAAACTCAAGGCCCATGGGCCAGGATTCCGCCCATGGGGTGCTTAGATCTGGCCCATGGGGCCACCCTGGAAACACCGAAGGACCAGCCCACAGTGTCTCTGCCAGCGAAAATGGAGCTCTGTTTTTGCTGGCAGAGGGTTGCAGGAGGCCATCGCCGTCGAAAACAGAGCTTGGGAGCCAGTTTTTGCTGGCACAGCACTTGGGCCACCACAGGAGCCCCCAGCACAAGTGACATTGAGCTAGCCATGCCCACTCTGGCCACACCCACCCTGGCCTCTCAAGGTCAAACACAACTCTGATGTGGCCTTCAATGAAACTGAGTTTGGACACCCTTGCTCTATGACAATATGCTCTTTACTAAATGTGTAAGAGTTAGTTAGTCACATCAAAGTTCTACTATAGCATGCTTTGGTTTGGCTTAGCATGAAACATGAAGTTATCATTATTTTGTGTAAATAATACTTTGCAGTTTAAAAAAAAGACAATTTCACTCCCTAGAGATACATTAAGTGTCCAAACTCCATTATATCATAGCCTCTTCAAGCATAATTGTAAAATATTCTTAGTATGATTTCCCATTACAGTACTGTTTTTTTAATTGAAGCTTGTAATAATATAAAATACAAGTAGAAACTGCTAGTAAGGGAATAGGGGAGGGAAAAGTAATGGGAAGGGAATGCAAGATAAAGGGGAAAGGAAAAAAAAGATTCACTTACAATTTTTTTCGTTGCAGTAAAATACAAAATATAGTTACAATTTCCACTTTTTGCATACACATTGAGTATATATTAACCATTTTTCTAGCAACAAACTAATCTAATCATCAAAATCTCAAATCAAAGCCCCCCCCCCCCGTTTCAAGCATAAAGTACAGAAGCTATTTCCAATAGAAACAAGCTAGATACACCTTCTCTTTAATTAAAACAGTTAATTTTGCCATCTCTGCCAACGGCATAACTTTTTCCATCCTTTCTTCCATTATGGAAATCAATTGTAGCATTGTAAAATTAGAAACTCAGGCAGAGTGAAGTCCAAGTCCTATACTAGTGTGGACCCAAATATAACATAAAGAAGTGATATTGGTATTGGAGAAGGCTCCGATGGATAACTGCCTCCTCCTTGGATAACCAAGAAAGCAAATAAATACATCATACAACCAATCAATACTAAGTTCCCATTTGAGGCTCTTGTTGCATGCTTTATAGAGCTATACGATCATTTACATTTAATAAATAAATAATAATAATAATTTGAACCTGATCATTTGATACCAATCTAATAATGCATAATCGGTGAACCAATGGATTGTATTAATTGGAAGTGGCTGTCCAGAATTTAATCAGAAATTTTGCTCACCTAGTGATACCACAAATTAAATATATAATATTTTGGAGACAGAGCAGATGCTTTGATAGAGAATTTTTTTTTTAATTTCAATGCATATATGAGTGACTTCCCTAAAACTAGAAATAGCAGTAAGCCATTCCCAGATAACAACCCAAATAGCAAAATGAAGTCCATTGGCTCCAGTGCCAAAGCACAGGTTCCATTTTTTAAAAATTAACTTTTCTAGCCACTCTATATAGTAAATTCTACAAGAGTACACCTTATGAACATAATATGAATTTTAGGTTACCTTAAATTTGATTTCTGTTGTTTTTCATCCCTGTTCAAACAATTAATGATAGATTATAGCATCATAAATAATTCCACTTGCAGGAATGTATGCCCAATATTCTAAAGAAGCCACAACATGATTCAAAGATTCAAAACCTGAGAAGATTTTATTTCTTTGAGAACTTCAAAATGTTTCAGTATTTCAGATGTGTTCAAAGAAAATATAGAAACTTAGGTAGATACAGCCTAAGTCAGTGTTGGCAAACCTTTTCACCACCAAATGCCCAAACTGGAGCATGCACGTGGGCAGGGGAGCACCAGAAACTGGAAGAGCGTGCGCTGGGGAGCTGCTCTTTGGTTTCCAGTACTCCTGCACACACGAAGACTAGCTGACGGAACCCAGAACAGCAATGGACGACAGCTGGCGTGCCCAGAGAGATGCCTCTGCAAGCCACTTCTGGCACACGTGCTGAAGGTTTGCCATCACAGGCCTAAGTCTGTCATTCTGAAGATAAGTCAGCCACAATAAACTATCAAGTTCACACAATGAGGCTTTTCTAGACTATGTTACTAGAATGTTAAATGCTGTGGACACTCGAGAATTCAGAAAGCCGCTTAGTGTCCCATGGAGACTTCTGTTCACGGGGGTGTCAGAAATATTGTGCGTTTATGGATCTTCACTTATCTCTGAAGAGGGTTTCAGGATTTCAACACAATATTATAAATCTTTACTTTTCCGTCAATCCCAGGATCATTTCTTTTAAATCTCAAGTGAATTCAAATGGTATTTATGTTGATAGTATCACAATAAGTTGATCAAAAATTAAGCAGGTTTTGTTTTTCAGTTTTGAACATTGTTCTCTGGCTGGCAACTTTCTTACAGAAAACTCTTTCCAGAAGATACAGAAATATAATCTTAGAGAATTTTTTTTAAAAAATTTTGCAGAGCCATACTGGAAAAGCATAGGAAAAAAAAATAGTTTTGTTAAAAGTTGCAATGCCATAGGGGAGGATAGACTTGTGCTTTTGCTTATTTATTTCTTTTTATTGCCATCTTTATTATTTTTACAAATAAGGTGGTAAGCATATCCAACATCCTTTTTCCCCCACAACCACCACACTTTGAAGTGAGCTGGGCTAAGAGAGAGTGAATGATTCAAAGTCACCCAGCTGGCTTTTATGGCTAAGGCTCACAATGTCCTGCTTATGCTTATATGCCTATGCTACAGGATATCTCCAATTCTCATCAACAGTTAATTAGTGCAGGTTTTCATTTCTGAATTGGGTCAACTGCTTGCTTCGCATGATAAAACAAGCTATTTTGTGCCCAGTGTTCTCCTAGGAAATGATATTTATAACTAAATCACATTTAAAACTGATCTTTTCAATCCACTACAAGATTCCTATTGAACAAGAAGACTCTTTAATCCTTGAAAAATATTTGATGTAGTTATTTCTCGAGCAACTCCTGGCATATTGGCTTATTAGTTAGTTAGTCTGTTTTTGTCAGATTTGTATAGCTGCCCATCTCATAAAAAATTCCTCTGGGTGGCATACAACAATCCACATATATAAAACAATCAGTATGAAATATAAGAATTGGTATTAAAAGTTAAATATTACAAAAACAAAATATACAAACTCTACGCAAAGAGAGAATAAGAATAGCCAACTCAGCAATAGAGCCATCTAGACATGTCTCAAGAGACTTCTGGAATATCAAAAGGTAAAGGTAAAGGTTCCCCTCGCACATACGTGCTAGTCCTTTCTGGCTCTAGGGGCCGGTGCTCATCTCCGTTACAAAGCTGAAGATCCAGCACTGTCTGAAGACATCTCCATGGTCATGTGACTGGCATGACTAAACACCAAAGGTGCACGGAACGCTATTACCTTTCCAACAAAGTGGTCCCTATTTTTCTACTTGCATTTTTACATGGTTTCGAACTGCTAGGTTGGCAGAAGCTGGGACAAGTAATGTTAGCTCATGCTATTATGCGGTGCTAGGGATTAGAACCACCAAACCGCCGACCTTTCTGATCGACAAGCTCAGTGTTTTAACCACTGAGCCACCATGTCCCTTTATCAAAAGGGATGGAGATATCTAATTTCAGGGGGAAGAATGCTATACTAGAGTCAGTGAAAGTATGTCTCTTGGAACCCATCTAAATGTAGATCCTTAGGTGACTGGACCTACAGCACACCATCTTCTTGCAGGAGATTTGAGGCCCTGCATATATTTTTGCAGGATTGTATTGTCTATTTATTGGTCAGCTTGCAGCCTATATTAATTTTTATAAAGTGTCCCTTTTGATAAGAAGTATATTCTCCAGGTTGGCTGAGCTTTCCTTTGCTCCTTGCATAATCTGATATAAAAAGATGGCTTGAACTATGAGCTATGTGGCTGATTAAAATTTATGTATTATTTATACATTAAACAAATGTATATGGCCACACACATCACACCTAGATGACATCAAGAGTTTACAACATTTAAAAAGCCATAACTTAAAAACCTATAAGCACTCCATCCCATACCCCCTCACTCTCTATGGCAGGAACAACACAATCAAGATAAAAACTTGATCGTTTCCATCTCCATTAGTAGTCCCTAACAGAGGAGGTATTCAGCAGGTTCTGACCAGTTCTGGAGAACCAGTAGCGGAAATTTTGAATAGTTTGGACAACCAGCAAATACCGCTTTTGACTGGAGATTTTACAATATCCTTCTGCCACGCCCACCAAGCCACACCCACAGAACTGGTAGTAAAAAAATTGGAATCCCATCACTGGTCCCTAAGCCTGCTGATAAAACCATACTTTTATGGCCTTTCGAAAAAGCAACAGGGTGGCAGCTGGCCATACCTCAGCAGGAGTGATATTCCATACAGGAGGACGAACAACAAGATTAAAATTAAATTTAAAACATTAACATTAAAAAAAAATAG